CATCCATACTCAATCTGTATGCTGAGCAAATAATCTGAGAGGCTAGACTATATGAAAAAAGCCTAACGTGGTTAAAAAAAATGGTGCAATAGTTCATTATAGATTAGTAAGCAAGCACAAGTAAGCCTGTGCTTACCTTGCTTTTTGGGTAATCTGCACCTGATACTAAAGCAGAGAACTGGAGTTGAGAAAGTCAATAATAGTAAGCATGGCCTCAAAACCATGATGATAAAAGAAGGGTTTTGGAAGAAGAAGAACAAAGTAGGAGGTGTCATACTCCTGGATCTCAAAACCCACTATACAGCCACAGTAGTCAAAACAGCCTCGTATTGGTATAACAGACACATAGACCAGTGGAACAGAATTGAGAACCCAGAAATAGACACATTGACCTACAGTCAGCTGATCTTTCACAAAATGCTGAAATCCATTAAATGGGGAAGAGATTGTCTCTTTAACAAATGGTGCTGGCAAGACTGGATATCATTTGCAGAAAAATGAAACAAGATCCATACCTCACACCATACACTAAAACTAACTTCAAATGGATCGAAAACTTAAATGTGAAGTTCCTCAAGGACAGTATTAAGTTCCTTAAGGTAAAAATAGGGACAATTGTAGGGGTTGTAATTTATGACATAAATGGTGTGTCAAGCATAGCCCAAAATACAAACAGCAGAAGATAAACTAGGTGAATGGGACCTTCTAAAAATTAAAATTTTTATGGGCTTTCAAATATTCTCCAAAAGAGTCAAAAGAGAACCTACGGATTGAAAAAAAAAAAAAAAATTGGCAATGACATATCTGACAAGGGACTTATCTCTAACATTTATAGAAAACTTCAACACCTCAACAACAAGAGACAAACAATCCAATTAAAAGATGAGCAGAAGACATGAATAGACATTTCACCAAAGAGGATATTCAAGCAGCCAACAAACACATGAAGAAATGTTCATGATCATTAGCCGTTAGAGAGATACAATCAAAACAACAATGAGATATAATCTTGCCCCAGCACTAGCCCTAAAATTCAACAAGACAGAATATAACAGATGCTAGTGAAGTTGTGGAGAGATTGGGACTCTCATACACTGTTTGTGGGACTGTAGAAGTAAACAACCACTGTGGAAAGCAGTATGGTGATTCCTTAAAAAGTTGGAATTAGAAATACCGTTTGATCCAGCATCCATTACTAGGTATATATCCTAAATAAGTGAGAGTCAGGACAAGAACAGATATATGCACACCCATATTTATCGCAGCACTATTTACAATAGCAAAAAGATGGAAACAACCTAGGTGCCCATCAACAGAAGAATGGATAACCAAACTATGGTACATAAGCACAGTGGAATACTATGTAACACTAAAGAATGATGTAGAATCTGCAAACACTGCTTAACATGGATGAACTTGAAGGACATTATGTTGAGTGAAATAAATCAATCACAGAAAGACAAATATAGCATTAGTACATTATTGTAAAAAATTAAGGTAAGGTTTATATTTGGAAGGAAACTTTCTTTGTTGGTTACCAGAGGTCAGAGGAGAGAGGAGGGAACATTGCAATCAATAAATCAACCAACCAACTAACCAACCAACCAACCAACTAACCAACTATGGAACACAGTTCTACTCTGACACACGTGGGGCCACCATGAGTCAAAAATAAATAAAAAGAAGGGCTTCAAATTAGTTCATTCCTGTTCAACTTCTGCTGGAAAATTGTATTTTCACTTCAAATATACTGAACCAAATTCATTCACTGCCGTTGAGTTGGATCTGACTCAACCCCTCCTTGTGTTTCCGAGGCAGTATCACTATGGAAGTAGATTGCCCAACCTTCCTTCCAAGGAGTGGCTGGTGGATTTGAACCACCAGCCTTCTGGTTAGCAGTCAAATGCCTTAGGCACTACAGCACCAGAGTACCTTATGTACTGAACCAGGATCTACATTTTACATATCCTCACCTCCACAATAGAAAACTAATACAACAATGTAACTGTCTAATACTGGCCATGATGGCTGGCAGATGGCTTTCTTTCATGTATTCATACTAGGATCTGAGAATGGCCATGCAATTGTGTCAGATCTTGACTCCCATACTTCTGAACATGAGAAGGAGAGCAGTGGACAGAAGCATATTAGATCCACTTCTGAAAACCTAACTTGAGTTCAGGAAACATCAGTTGCATATGCATTTCATTGGCAAGAACCACTCACATGGTTATGCCTGGGTGAAAGGAGGTTGTGAAAAGATCTTCCTGGCTGGAAAGCTTCCTTCCAGGCAGCTCCATATTGTGGAAGGGCAATAGACATTTCTATACCTGTCAAATGTTCATGTACTTGAATATTAAGGCCATTGCATCTCATTGCAAGTGAAATAAGAACATGTGATGATATTGTGTATTGTCTATTGACATATATTGATAGTGTATATTCTAATCTGAAATATCTAGAGAATTAGAGTAACATTTTAATTAGAAAAATTGATGTGATTTAATGACACATTCATTACAGACATTTAACCAGATGTGGCAATACTATAGAAAAAGGATCTGGGATTTCTCTCTGACCAGAAGGTGTTCCATCAGCACTGCCAATGTCTTTCCTTTGGGCCTTCCAGCTGAGACTGTCCAGGAGGCGATCCCTCCTTCCTCAACTACCAATGTGGAGATACACTTACATAAGGCTCAGGCTCTGCCATGTGTGCGCCAGACTCCTGGAAGCTTTGCCTTTACCTTCTCTGGATCTGGACCTCAAACCAAGTACTAGAATTTGAGGCAGTCCCATTGCCTTATTTTCAGCTACTTGTCAATGAAAAGAGAAATTCTCAGTCGCCCTCCACCTTCAGGACCACAGTGCCCATGCTCTTTGTAACAAGGTACACTGACTGTTGAAGAAATTCTTCTCCATGGAGTTGAGCATCCACATATTTTATTCAGCTGCCACAGTGGTAGCCCAAACAACCTCTTTCTTGGGAGTAATTAAGATTTGTGAACTAGTCTAAAAGTATTTGATGAAAGAGTAAGTATAATTCACTCTATGGTACTTGTTTTTTAGCTAAATGTAGTATGTAGAATTTTGAACTTAGAAAGGATGAGGAAAAATATTTCTTTTACATGAGCCTTAAGAAATACTCAAGATGAAGTATACAATCTATATCATTCCTGTTAATTGGTCTGCTTTGCTCTATTTGGTATCATAAAAGTCTAGAAAAAGGAAGCTATCAGATCTTTAAGTGTGTAATTAGGCAGATATTCTAATGTTTCAGGGAAGGAGGGGGATTTTGGTGGAGAAAAGCAGGGATGAGAGCTGCTGATAAGACCAAAAAAGGAAAAATGGATTCCTAAGGAAAGCTGGTAATTCTCAGGAGGCTTGGCATTGCTGATGAACTGGAATATTCCAAATACTAGAGTGACAGCCACAACTTCATCCCTTCCTCATCAAGAGGTCTCCTCTAAATTTGCTCAGGGTTTATTTTTCAGTGACTATTCATCTCTCTCTCCCTCTTCGTCTCTCTCCTTTTCTGCCTAACTCTGTCTTTCCCTTCTTGTTTCCTTTCTTCTTCATTTTCTCCTTCCCTCCCTTCCTCCCACTTTCCCTCCTTGTGTCATTTCTCCTTCCTTCCCTCTCTCCCTCACTCTTTTCTGCTCTTCCTTTTTCTCCCCTTCCACCCTCTCTCCCTACCCTCCTTTTTCTCTCCCAGTCTCCCTTCCTTTCTTCTCTGTGAGGTACTGTGTTAAATATTAAAAAGCATAGAATCCTCATAACAACCTATGAAGTTATTATTAAACCTCCATATTAAAGATAAAGAAGCTGGCATTGAGAGGTTAGATAACTCTCCAAAGGCAACTCAGGAACAGAGTTAGGATGACTGAAGTTCAGATCATGTCACCCCTCTATTCCAAACCCTTCTGATTTCCTGTAAATCACATTAAACCTGGATTCTCTAACATAATACATAAACTTCTTCAGTCCCCCCACCAAAAAAAAAAAAAAATACACTGCCATTGAGTCAATTCAACTCATAGTGACCCTTCCTTGGGTTTCCAAGGCAGTATCACTACGGAAATAGATTGCCCAATCTTCCTTCCAAGGAGTGGCTGGTGGGTTTGAACCACCAGCCTTCTGGTTAGCAGTCAAATGCCTTAGGCACTACACTACCAGAGCTCCTTACTTCTAATTAAGAGATACTAAATTTGGGCACTTTTTTTTTTTCTTTTTTCCCTATTTGGAATATTTTTTCTTAAACAGAAAACTATGGACTCACAAGCAATACTTTAGAATCAAACTTTCTGTGGAGGAGTGATAAGAGTTTGAAAAAATTGCCAGATGAGTCTAATATACAGCCAGAATTGAGAATCACTGCTTAGCAGATGATACGACCCTACTTACTATCCAAGGAGTTGATATTTTGCTTGAAACCGTTTTCAAACAGATGTAAAGCTAGTTCAGATGTCTGATTGCTTGACATTACCCCCCGCCCCTAATAGAATTACTTTTCAAATAAATTCAGAAGGTGAATTGACATCTCACACAATTTTATCCCAGAATCCTCAAGTGCTAGTGATATCCTAGCATAAGAATAAGGAATATGGATTTGGATGCTTATTCAGAGAATAAATATTTATTGAGCACACATAGAGGTACTGTCACTACACTAATTCCCATCCTTTCCCTTCAATGTTGAATGAAGGTTGCTTTTGGAGAATATCATAAGATGATTCACCTAAAACCTGAATATCTTTGAATTTGATAAGGATGTGATGGGGGGGGGGAGTCATGTAGCTCTTTCATTAGGAAAATCAGGAGGTTTCAGAACTATAAAAGGACAGCATCATTGGGCTGCAGCAGGTGTTTCACACAGGTAGCCTCATTAATGATTAACCACAGAGTCTGAATAAACGCCAGATAAAGGAAATTGAAACCCAGCACCTGTGTGAAGTCCTGCCTTGGTTTCTATGTCAAAATCATTTGTATTTTTTCCCCCATAGGTCCGAACCAGTGTCTTACCTGAACATAAGGATCCCCCACCAGAGGTTGGGGTAAGTATTTCTTATGTTTCTAAAAGATACATAAATCACTTTGAAATTAATCATACAGATTTCTTCTGGCCTCCTGCCTGGTAACTGACAAATGAAATTGAGTTAAATTAACAGGGTGTGACTATCCGAGAAGAAGCTGTTATATATTTGCTGAATTGCACAGAAATCATTCCTCGTCTCCTGAAAATGATCCTCAAATGAATTCATATCATTTAGTCCAGCTGGCTAGATATGGGCTTAGAATTTCAGGTAGCTGAAATGTGATTTGGAACTAACATTCCTGGACAAAGAGGAGGCTAGGGAAATTGCAGGTGTGAGCTCCACTGCTTCAGGAAAGGAGTGCAGAATCTGCAGTACAACTGTGATATTTTCCCTTCCTACAGCTTAAACATATAATGCAAGTTAAAAAAGAGGCTACTGCAAAGCTTAAACACTATAATGCAAGTTAAAAAAGAGGCTACTGCAAATGTTCCAACCAGCATTGGGAAGTCTTCCTGATGTTTCCTTGCTGCGTATGAACTACTGTGCTTCCAGACTTTAGATACTGGAAAAACAAGAGAGTAATGCGGGTGTTCTGCTTAGATAACGCAAAGTAGGTGGCTACTACCAGTTGCCATGGAGTCAACTTCAATTCATCCAACCCCATTTGTGTCGGAGTAAAACTGTACTGTAAAGGGTTTTTAATGGCTGAATTTTCAGAAGTAGATCATCAGGTCTTTCTTTTTTTGAGATGCCTCTGAGTGAATTGAATCTCCAGTATTCTGATTAGGAGCTGAGTCTATTAGCTGTTTGCTTGACCCAGGGTCTCCAAAATAGATGATGACAGCTCTCAAAAAGAAACCACAACATATTGATGTGCTTAAATGAGGAAAATGCCTGGAGTTAAGTTGAGTCTAAGAGGCCCTAGGGCTGAGCTTATTTGTTATTCCCTGAAATCCTACAGACAATTGACATGAATCCTCCAGGAAATACGCAGGACACTATACTGGGTATCATTCATTTCCTCATTGGACAATAATCACCTCCTCACCCTGCTGAGAGAGCTCTCCAAAAATATACACCACAGTATAAGGTGAGTCAAGTGAACAGAATGTAACTATCTCTGCATCTGGCAGTAAGAAAAGGAATGAAAGTGTGCTTTGTTCCTTCTCAAGCCTAACACAAACTTCTGGTTTCTGCTGAGGGGCAAGTCAAGGTGGATAGCTCCTTCTGACTCAAGTGAATCTTGATGCTTCATTTTCTTCCTGCCTCACTCTCTGCTCAGACCACACAAGCCTTTGTTTACTTGCTCCATCAAGACCAGCAAGTTCTTCCCAGCCTCAGGCCTTCACAGTCATAGGGCACTCATTCCTCCCTCTGCCTGACCTGCTGTTCCCCACTGTATTAGTTTTCCAGGGCTGCCATAACCAAGTACCACAACCTGGGTTACATAAACCAACAAATTTATTTTCTCAGAGCTTTGGAGGCAAAGCCCCTTGCTGTTGAGCCAATTTCAACTCATAGCAACCTATAAGACAGAGCAGAATTACCCCATAAGGTTTGCAAGGCTGTAATCTTTATGGAAGCAGATTGTCACATCTTTCTCCTACAGAGCAGCTGGTGAGTTAGGACCACAAACTTTTAGGTTAGCAGCCGAATTCTTAACCATTGCACCACCAGGGCTCCATTCTGGAGACTGTAAATCAGAAATTAAGGTCTATATAGGGCCATGGGCGCTCTGATAGCATAGTGCCTAAGGCACTTGACTGCTAACCAGAAGGCTGGCAGTTCAAACCCACCAGCCACTCCTCGGAAGGAAGGTTGGGCAATCTACTTCCACAGTGATACTGCCTCAGAAACCCAAGGAGGGGTAGCTATGAGTCTGGTCCGACTCAACGGCACATAACCACCACCACAACAACATAGGGCCATACTTCCTCCAAAGCTTCTAGGGGAGGATACTTCTTTGCCTCTTCCAGTTTCTACTGATCCCAGGCATTTATTGGCTTGTGGCAGAATAACATGAATCTCTGCCCTATCATCATATGGTTGTCTTCTCTGTCTGTCTGTCCCTATCTATGTCATCACCTAACATTCTCCTCTCTGTGTGTCCCTTTCTGTGACTCTACTCCTCTGATAAGGACACCAGTCATATGGGATTGTTGTTGTTGGTATGTGCCATGGAGTCAGATCGACTCATAGAGACCCCTGCTTGGGTATCCGAGGCAGTATCACTACGGAAGTAGATTGCCCAACCTTCCTTCCGAGGAGTGGCTGGTGGGTTTGAACTGCCAGCCTTATGGTTAGCAGTCAAGGATTAGGACCTACATTATGACTTCATCTTAACTTGATTATTTCTGAAAAAACAATGTGTACTAATAAATACACATTCACAAGTGCCAGAAGATAAGACCTTAATATATCTTTAATATATCTTTTTTGGGGACATTTTTAAACTCCAAACATCTACTACCTGCCTTGCCTAACCCAGAGTTCAGCTCACATGCCTCTTGCTTCCTACTGCTACCACCATGTGTAGTAATGCTCACCTTTAAACTACATCCTTCAATTTTAAGTTCTCATCATTTCTTTACACTTACTGCATAAACCTAAGACCTTTGGAACATTTTTAACTCTTAATGTAGTATTTCAAACATTTTCTTTTATCAAGGTGGACAGTTTCATTGTTGAAGTTCAAGACACATGAACCAATTGAATTTTCACCCACTAACTTTTCCCCCTGCTTCTCACCAACTGCTTTGGTGTTGAATCTCCCTTGTTTGATGCTTAATAACATCATGCCCTACTTGTGTAAATTTCCCTTTATTTTTGTCTCATTCATATTCTTGGCAATGCACTTATTTATTTAAAACTTCAGTCTGTTCTCTGAGTTTGCATTATTTTCTTCCATCCCCTCCCACTGTTCCCACTATAGTATAGAGCTGTCTGTGCCTCTAGAAGCTTTTGGTAGAGGGGGAATATTGCCTGGTTCTCACACTTGCCCTACCTTTTCCTCTTCTTGTTGTTCAGCTTTTGTGGCATGGAGGAAAGAGAGGGGAGATGGATGTTCCTTCTGTGCTTGCCCTTGGGGAGGGAAGGGTTTCTTTTATATTGGCTTAGATGTTTCTTAGGCTAACACTTCCTATCAGAGAGCTCTGTGTGGCCAATATTGAAATGTTCATACTTTATGGGGTACACATATGAGTATTACTGGGGACCTTTTAGAGTTCTCCCCACTGTGTATTTACCTACCATGGGGGATCTATTTCTGGGTCAACCTCTTTGGCTGCTCACTCCCTCCTCCAGTTCAGCCTTTGTAATGTCCATTTGACTTACGCAAAACTCACACACATTTGCTATACTACACAGAAGAAATGTGGACTGCTTACTAATGCTTTCTCTCTTAGCCATCTCTCTGCTGACCTTGTCTACAATCCCCAGCAGCAGCAGGTAGTAGACAGTCACTGAATTCTAAAGGAGAGACAATCACCAGTCCCCACTACAGTGTAGATAAAGATGTTTTATAAGCTTCACAAGTGATTTTTTTTTTTTTTTTTTTTAAGAATTACATTGCCTTGGCTTTGGGAATAAAGTTATCTTCCTAAGGGATAAGATGGAGGCTAGGCTTATTTCTTAAATAGTACATCTCCCAATATGCTGACCTCTCCCCCTTCAATCTGCTTCAGGAATAATTTCTTTTAGAAGGATCAGCACAATGCTATATGAGGAAGAGATTAAAGATTTCCCAAAGGTCCAACTTTTCCAAACTGCTGTACACTCTATCATCTCTAACATCAACTACTCTTCTTCCCTTCAGTATACTTGCTCTCATCTTAGGGTTCTGTAATTTCCTGTAATGTTTCACAGAACTAGCCAAAGAAATGTCTCATGCAATTATAGAGACTGGCAAGTCTCAAATCCATGCATTGGGCATCAATCTGAAGAATTCTCCTCACTCACATGGTTACAGGGTCTGAAGACCACAGATTGGTAGGTCAGATGATGGGCTTTTGTCTCACAAAACTGTGGTTCTGTGAATCAGGTCAGATGATAGGCTGCTGGCTCAAGTCCTGAGAACTGGAGGTCAGGTGACAAGAAACCAGTTGCAGGATCCAAAACAAGAGAGAGAGCAATTTGCCAGAGCAGTCATATGTATGCAGACCATACCCTCAAGAAACTAAGGTGACTTGAATCACACCATTCAGTAAGGCAGTAACTCAAAATACATCCTACCCTAACCCTGCCTCATTAACATAATGGACAACACACTCTAAAATGGGACCATAATCAAAGGCACAGGGGCTAGGATTTATTGTACATCACAAAATGAGGGACTATGGCTAGAGCACTAGAAGTAGCTCGCTGCATCACACCTATCTTTATATAATTGGTTGTATAGGGCTTACTAATTGGCCTATTTCTGTAACTGACTCTTCTCATTAAGCCTTGAATTGAGTTGCTATGGGAATTCTATGAACTTAAAGTGTGGGTCATTTGGTAAATTGTATTTTCATCTTTGACAAGGATAATTGATAATTCCTTTGATAATTCCTGGACCAAAAGAAAAATTCCAGTTGATATTCTATAACATGCCCAAGTAACCTGACAAATAATAGCTTCAAAGGGACAGATTTGATTTTCTCATCTAATAAGAATTCTGAGAGAAAAATGTCCAGGACTGATACAGGCACCCCAACTTTCTGCTCTTCCTTTTTTAGAAGTCTAATCTGGCCACTGCTTCTCCAAGTAATACATTTCAGGTCAAAAAAAAAAAAAAAAAAAAGAGCAAAGGGCAAAAGTGTTAGATTAGCTAATACCGTTCCTTCAATTTTAGAAAACAGTAACTTTTCAGAAATCTCAGTGTATAGACTGCCACTTACACATCACTGAGAAAAGCTGAGTGAGACTTTATCTAGCAGGTAATCTAGGTACTTTTCCCATTTTAACAAGAACAAGGTTCTATTAGGAATAAAATATGGGCAGAATGCACATTAGATAGGCAATTTGCAGTATCTCCAAAC